ATATATTTGAGCATGATATCATTATAGTGTAGTATACATTTTCCCAACGCCGACCTGTGGTTTGCAGCTGTGCCCTGGGGACGCAGCCGACTCTTCAGAAACTCCTGCTCCCATTGTACTCTATACAGCGCTCCCCATGTAGTAGCGGACCCGAATATAGCCTCCCAAAGGTCAGCAAGATCCTTTACACGACCATGAGCCAAGTCGTAGCCGAGTCTCTGACTATATTACCGTAATTCATCTGAAGCGCCACATGCGCATTCGCTTAGTGTCCAGCTTGTTGAAGCCAGCACGCAGATATCTATTCTCCGTCGATTTCACCGCAGAGGAGTACCCGTAGCGCTACCGGTCTCTTCGCGCCCACTGCCGCCATTCATGATCCTCTTCTTCTTCTTCTTTTTGCGGGGCACAACAGCCGGCTTGGCGCCGTAGTTGCCCAGCGCCAATTTTGTTCCACAGGTCAAGCACTCCGCATTCTCGGGTAGTTCGCAGAATATGCTCAAACAGATGGAGCATACGAAACCCCTGTCAACGACTTTTCCGTGACAAAAACAAGCAGCTCGGAAGTCTACCGTGTCGTGTGTTGGGGTGATGAGCGACTGGCGAGCTTCCGTGTCCGCTATTAAGCCAAACATGAGGTAGGCGAGGAGACCTTTGGGGTTTGCGGCGGCGAGAAAGGTGCCGTTTGTGTTAAAACAGGCTTGCTGCAGGAATGTAGGGTTGCCTGAGAGGCAGAGCGTGTCAATGGCTACCTGGGCGTGGGCGGCGGCAAATACGGCGTTCATGATTGGTATGTACTGGGATGGCTCGGAATCGGACACGGACACGACCAAGATGCGGCCCTTCATTGGGAGTGCGGCGTTGGCACTTGGCTGGGCCACTTCTGCTAAGCTGCCGGATGCGCCGCTGAGTGCTTGGGAGGCTTTGTTGATGTGGCATAATGCCAGCGTCAAGGCACCGGATAGTTGTGTGGTAGTTGCCTCGAGATCTTGCTCCGTTGTTTCGCTCATCAACTTCTGCATCGATGCGAGGACGGCGGTCTCGATCTGCGCGAACTGCGGGTACTTGTTGGCCGAGTTTCGCGGGGAGTCGCCGGGGACATCGATCATATGCACATCGCCGGATGTATCCTTGGGTGATGTTTGAGGAGGCGTTGGGTAGAGCCATACTGCGCGGTTCACGTGGGCGGCTACTACTGCGACCTGGTTGACATTGCTGAATGCTAAGTGGGCATTGACGAAGACGAGGATGTTCGCGATGGCTTTTGATATGGGGAGGACATCGTCTAGTACTGCCCAGGCACGAGGATTGGTGTCTATGACGATGGAAAGGAGGGATGGTGTTTCTTCGGCGGTGGTGACCTCGTAGTGCTCTGAGACGTCGACGGCGTCCATGGTGGACGGGGAGAGGTGCCGTCGAAGGCAGCTACGAGGCCAATTTCCCGAGCTGGAATTATAGAGGGAGGGTCGCCTGGTAAGTCTAGCGAGGTGTCTTTTTCAGTTATCAATATCGCGATGGAAAGTTATGATGTAGGCGGGTGTGAAGCTTGGTCGAGGTGATCGGTTGCTGCAGTAGACGACCGGGGCACAACCATATTAGAGATTCTTTCTCATGTTTCAAGTTCGTACCCTTTGAATGGCTGTAAACGAGGGCAATGGGAGTATTACGGACGGGCCTTGTATGTAATATTGCATCTCCGTGATTGAAGGTTGGTTGGTGTATTCACAAATGTCAACGATGCTGGTCGTGTGCAGAGATCGACAAACACTACTTCCCGTCACAGTTGCTGACAGGACAAAGGCAGGCCAAACTGGTGGCTGGCTAGGTACCTAGGTACCTAACAAGCAGGCTGCTTGGCTGAAGCCATCGGTGGCGTTACAGCGCTGCCACGTGATTGTGGCTTGAGACAGTGGCTGTTGCTGCTGAAAGCGACATTGAGGGAGTCTCGGTACCTTTGGCTGGCAACTGGGAGCCTAACAGTTAAATGCCCTAGTAGTGTCTGCACTTCGTAACTCAGGTGCCTTATCGCTTCAACGGCTCATCATTCGCCCGATAGCTGGTATCCTCAGGTACCCAAAGTGAGGGGCAGCTTGCCAGAGCTCCATCCCCAAATTGAACCTGTCCATTCACACACAGCAAAGCTCCAGTCTCACGCCCCATCTCTTCATGACGAACCAGAGGACGCCTGACGCCATAAAGGGACCACAGTGGGCGGCCGACATGCCAAAGTGGAGAGAGAGCCTGAGCGAGACGGTGGTTTTTGGTCGCTATTTCATGCCTGTCATGATCCCTGAAGCTCGAGCTGACTTTTATCTCAGAAGCTAGCGGGCAACTGTACGGTTGCGGGGAGTGAGTGGGAACAAGATACAATGAATCACGTTAACCCTACTCTCTCGACCATTCCATCCCGTGTTACTCGGTGCACCAGGCACAAGTTTGGATCCTCTCACATGTAGCTCCCAAGGGCATGAATTCTTTATTTCTCCCCCTCTTACGTCCTCTCTAGCTGGTACTTGCTTTTTTGCTCTACACCTTTTTGTTTCATCCGAGTCGCATGAGTCCTTGGCTGTACTTTGCCCACTACAGCCTCGCCCTACGTCACCTGTCGTCTTCGTCGTCACAAATCTGCCATGATGACGGAGACACTCCAGGGCTCGGCACCGGCCGCAACTCTCGAAGACCAGACCCTATTGGTTTTTGCTCGTCTAATGGAAGGCGGCCAGGAGGATGAAGCGACATGCAGAGAATTGGACCAGCTGACAAAGTTATTAAACGACGACGCCGAGTCACAGGAAAAAGACGACAAGTACAGGACCATATGCAACGTCATCGACGGCGATTGCGTCGACACCGTCTTGTGTTATCTCGATATGCGCCAGCCCGATATTGTGCGAGGCCATGCAACTCTCGCCACCTCTGCCTATCTCAAGGCCGCCGGAGATGACGGATCTAAGAAGTTGTCTGAATTCTTCTTTGAGCGTGTCAAGAGAGGTACTTATGACGACTACATTGTAGCATTCTGCGTCGCCTCAGCAACCTTCCCCATCGTCCCGGATTTAACCGCGCATTTGTTCTTAAGTGAAGGCTTTTTGAGTAGTCTCGGCCCTCTTATGAGGAGGGAGTGGAAGAGTCGTAAGGTTGAGACTGCGTGCTTGGAGATGCTCAACGCGGCATGCATGAATTCGATGTGCCGCGAAGCTGTTCAGAAGTATTGCGTCGAGTGGTTGGAGGAAGTAGTTGATCAGGACCCTACAGGTTCAACTGATGGTCCCAACAGTGAGCCCAAGGTTCAGGGTGAAGGCGGTTCCATTTCCATGAGACGACACTCGGAGCAGGTTCAACATTTGGCGGCTGTTATTTTGGCGAAGCTGAGAGTGAGTTTACGAACCCCGTTGCTAATTTTTTATTTCTTCTTTGTCCCTTTTTTTTTTCCATGCCCGACATCTGAGGGTCAAGACCCTTTACTTCATGTTGGATCATGGGTGTTAACGTCAAACTGACATAGACTGAAGGCAGTGCCTTCTAAACCATTAGTCAATGATCCCAACAGGCCAAGGATCGAGCCAGCAGTAACCAGCATCGAGGACTTGTCAGGCATCTTTACCAAAATGATACTACGAGATGGCGACGATGGCAAGCATTCCATAGAGGGTCTTGCTTACGCCTCTTTGCAACCAAAGGTCAAGGAGAGCATCATCGGCAACGAGGCTCTGCTCAAGAAGCTAGTCAAGACTCTTACGGAAGCGCAACCGCGGTCACCCACCACCTACGGCGCTCTCAGCATATTTGTCAACTTAACGCGGTACCGACCTGCGTTGTCAGAGGAACAGAAAAAGATGAGCCAATTGAAAGCCTATGCGGATGCCGCAGGGAAGCTTGCCGGGCCCGACCCCCTAGATGACGACGAACACGTCGCGAAACGTTGTCAGGCGGTTTTTAATGTCGGTCTCATTCCTGTCCTTGTCACTCAGAGCAAAAACGGTTCCCCTGCATCCTTGAGTCTCATTATTTCTATCATCAACTCCATCGCTGTTACGAAATCTCTGCGAGGACCGCTCGCGCAACAAGGGGCGGTGAAACTGCTTCTTGTAGGATGGGCTGCCATCCCTAACACCGATGAAGTGTCCCGGCGGACAGCAGCCCAGGCACTCGCACGAATTCTGATTAGCACCAACCCTGCTTTAGTATTTGGAGGAAACCGATCGAATCCAATCAACGCCGCCATCCGGCCCCTAGTTTCTATTCTGCCTCCTGACCCAGCTGCCGAGACCAGAGATCTGTTGCCTACCTTTGAAGCACTCATGGCATTGACGAATCTCGCCTCGTTGGATGAAGACGATACGCGGAGTATCATTATTCGCATGGCATGGTCCCACGTTGAAGAGCAACTTGTATCGTCGAATAACCTCGTTGCCAAGGCTGCTGTCGAACTTGTCTGTAATTTAATGCAAGCACCCGAGGGAATAGCTCTCTACGCAGATGGAAGCCCACAGTCCCGAACCCGTCTACACATCCTGTTAGCACTAGCTGATGCCGAGGACGGAGGAACTCGAAGCGCCGCAGGCGGAGCCCTGGCTTCTCTTACTGGGTTCGAATCAGTCGTGCGATATGTTGTGCAGCGGGAGAAGGGAGTCAAGGTTATTCTTGGCATGTGCAATGACCCTGACGAGGGATTGAGACATCGTGGTGTGGTGACGGTGCATAACTTGGTCACGGCCGACGGGGAAGCAGGGCAACTGGCCAAGAACAAGGTCAAGGACGAGAATGGCGTCGAGGTACTGAAGCAGTGTTTGAAGCAGAGCCGGCGACCGGAGGTGTTGCGGATTACTGTGGAGGCGTTGAAGGTCCTGCTGGACCAGAAGTAAATGGTATTCGCTACAATGAAGGAAAGTTGAAGCATACGGAAGGGTTTATCGTGCATATCTTTTGCGTTTCACATCATAACAACAGGCTGGTATATTGGCATGGAATATCCAAATGGAGCAATAGTACGCGTTCGTCTATGGATCCTTCTCTGTGCCACCATTTTCAGTAGTCGGCTGATCACATCTATTTAAAATGGCAACGCCCTCCACATGTCCCGTCTGAGGGAAGAAATCAAATCCAACAAGGCTCTCAATGTCATATCTGGCGCCGTCTCCTTCTGCTCTCACCAAAATACCAACATCTCGTGCCTGCGTGTGAACATTGCAGCTTACGTACAGTATTCTCTTTGGCCCGAATGTCCGCAGCTGTCCCAAGAAATCGGCGTCGCAGCCCTTCCGAGGCGGATCCAACACCACCACAGTCTCGTCGGCGGGGTACGTGACGCTCTTAAAAAGTTCACCGGCATCAGCAGCGATGAACTGGCATCGATCCTCGCCGAGACCATTGAGAGAAGCGTTATTGCGGGCTGAGGCGATGGAATCAGCTGCGATGTCAATGCCTGTCGAGTGCTGGAATACAGAGGAGAGGGTGATGGTGAAGAGGCCGGAGCCAGAGTAGGCGTCGATGAGGTACCTGATGGGGCTGTTGGATGGAGGAGGGAGGATATGCTCGCGGACATAGGCAGTAAATTTGGGGAGGATGGAGTTGTTGTTTTGGAAGAATGACCCGGCGGGATTTGTGAATGTGTGATTGCCAATGAATTCGGTTGTGGTGGCCTTGGAGTCCGTCTCGCAGGTTTTGATGTCGATGAAATCGTCGCCTTCGGTGCGGGCAGTATAGGGAGGCAGTGCGTCTTCCTTTGGTGGTTGATCCCCGTCTTGCGAGTCCTTGGGGTATCTGTGAGTGTTCTCGCGCAGCAGGATGGTTGCGCCGCGGTGATAATTTCGGAACTCGCTCTGCATGCGCTCTCGTTCACGGGCCATGCCTAGTCGTACTGCCGAAGTGCCGATGGGGCAATCTTCAATATCGAGGACCTTGCGCTTGCCCTTTTGCATGAAGCCTATGTCCGGGCAGGATTCAAACGAGACCTTGGCAGCCTTTCTCTTGCTTGGTCGAAAGCCCGGAGGCCCATCAAAGTGCGGCGTCAGCTTGGTGCGGTAGCCGTACTGCAAGGGACTCCCGATAGTATCCTGAATAGCAGGAACGAGTTCAGAGGGCAAATTAGAAAAGTTGCGGTAAGCCTTTTCAAGCACCCTCTTCTTTAGCCTCAGCTGTTCGACATAGTCCAGCATCTGGAACTGGCAGCCACCGCACGAAGAGAAGTACTTGCACTGGATACGGGCATCGTCGCGCAAGGATGAAGGTTTGACGATAGAAATGAAGTCTGCAACGGTTTGATGTTCTCGGGGAATGTGACGGAAGACTTTGACTTTGGCAACGTCTCCTGGTACGGTGAAGGGGACAACGTAGACTTGGTTTGAGCCGGAACGCATGGCGAGACCATCACCGGTGGAGGAGAGCTCAAGCACTTCTACTTCTGTCTCGGTGCCTTGCTCGGGTAAGAGCCCACTCTCTTGGGTTGTACCACTTGTCTCCTCAGGGTCGGTAGTGAACCCTCTTGATGCTAGTAGAGCTTCAATATCACGTCGAAGAACCTCCTCTGATGAACCCTCTGTGATGTTCTTCTCCCGCTTCGTCTTCTTCTGCTTCCAGGGCTTGGAGTTTCCATTTGCATCGTGGGGGCGTTTGGGACGTCCTTGGCCATTCTGAGCTTGTACCGGATGTGAGAGGTGTGAGTGCCTTGCCGAAGCGACGGTTGCCGCAGCATTTGGTGTTGATGCCATTGTTGCAAGTGGGCGGATAAAAGTGTGCGACGGCAGTTTGACGAGACGGGCTGCAAGACGTCCGCAGGGTGGCATCTGCGATTATCAATGAAGAAGCGTCCTCTGTTGAGTAAAACGAGCCTTTGGCTAGAATTCCCAATAACTGTTCCGAGCTAGTTCATCTTTCCTGTAGTGTTCTGAACAACTGATGTACACGATGCACTTGTATCAAGGTACGAAACATTGTTTGCAGACGTCCAACACTGAGGCAGAAAAAAATGCTGCCAGCCAATGACGTTGCTTACCATGCGTGGAAACGGGCCCTCTGCTATTGGCCAGTGGCACCTGCGTCTTGCGTTGCAACTTTACTTTTTTGTCGTGTCACCCATAAAAACAAAGCCCCGGTCATCGGCCATGGCTCCGGTACCAGATCGCGGATTTGAACTGTTCTGGAAATGAAGCTGAACGTGGAATATCATTCTTGACACAGCCTGGTTGGGGGTTTCCTACATTTTATTTATTTATTATTAATTTTTTTTAAATTTATTATTATTATTATTATTATTTTTATTTTTATTTTTTTTTTTGAGAATCTTTTGCAATTTTTTGGCACTTTGGCCACTCCGCCTTCTCATAAAACAGTCAACGCAGGCAACTCAGGCTTAAGAGCCGCGAGTCGGCGCTGATGCCAACCTCGACTCCGACATTCTGCATTCTTTGTCCGTTCATCTTGACGCAATGAGTGAGGCTGCCCCATTGATATTGATATACAAATCAAGAAAACCCACTGACAGCCATGATAGAAACCCTCATGCCGCATCTCGTCCAGTTGCTCCTGGCCTCTCTCGCAAACCATGGCTTCACTCATGCCAGTGCCTTGCCGGAAGTTGTCTTTAGACCAACCACAGATGGATCCGTCGGCGCCGTTGCTAGCGAGAGTATCGAGTGCAGTGCTATTGGCAGAGACTTGTTGGCTCGAGGGGTGAGGCTTTCTCCGCCATCTTATCGCATGGACTCTACTGACTTTTGGGGTCAACAGGGCAACGCTGCAGATGCCTTGGTAGGCACAACTTTTTGTGTGGGCGTCATCGGCATGTACCACTCTGGCATTGGCGGAGGTGGATTCGCAATGATCCGTGACCCCGAGGGTAACTATGAGGCGGTCGACTTTAGAGAAGCGGCTCCTGCAGCAGGCCATGAGGATATGTATCAGGGCAATGTCCCTGGAAGCATATACGGTGGCCTAGCTGTGGGAGTACCAAGTGAGGTTCTCGGGCTGGAATACATTCATAGCAAATATGGCGTACGCTCCATCTCCTACTTCCCCATCGTGTTCCTATTCCTTGTTGCTTACTCGCCCGTGTAGTCACTACAATGGAAGACGGTCATGCAAGGCGCCATTCATGTGGCCCGCGGCGGCTTCAGGGGTATGCATTTCCCGTGCCTCGATGCCCAAGGTTTATGGAAACAACTGGTTACTGACAAACAATTTTCCAAGTTTCAAGCGATTTAGTAGGCTACGTCGAACGCGCTGTCAAAGGAAAGCCCAATTTTTTGGTGGAGGACCCCAACTGGGCACAAGACTTTGCCCCCAATGGTTCGTTCGCCCAAACGTGAACGTGCCCTACGTTTGCTTACGAGTATACAGGGACTCTCCTCCAGGCAGGTGAGATAATGACAAGAAAGCGCTATGCCAAGTATGTCTGTTTCTTTACGCCTTCCTCCTCAAAACTAACACGTTTGTTCCAGAACTCTGGAGAAGATTGCAAATCAAGGCTCCAAGGTCTTTTACACCGGCGAACTCGGTAGGCTATTCCCTCCTCACTTACGCTTCAAAATGCTATTAGGCTGACATATATTCAGCGGAAACGCTGGTCAACTACATCCAACAAACAAATGGCACCCTGACATTATCCGACTTCAAAAACTACAAAGTCATCAGTCGACCCGTCAAAAACGTCACCTACCGCGGCCTCAACCTATACACCATCGGCACTCCGGCCAGCGGCGCTATAACTCTCAACATTCTCAAAATCATGGAGCAGTTCGACATGGCAGACTCGAAAGACACTAATCTCACATCCCATCGCTTTGTAGAAGCCATGCGCTTCGGGTACGGCGCTCGTTCCGAGCTCGGTGATCCAGCGTTTGTCGAGGGGCTAGATGAATACGAAGCGCATCTGTTGGATGAGGTTCACGCCAAGCATACTAGGGAGCGTATTTCGGATAAGCAGACTCTCCCAGTGAAGGAGTATGATCCCAAGGGCGTGGAATTGCCCGAGAGTCACGGGACGTCGCATATCGTCACGGCTGATGAGTCTGGGATGGCCACGTCGCTTACTACGACTGTCAATCTATTGTTTGGTGCGCAGATCATGGAGCCGTCGTCCGGTATTATTCTGTACGTTCTCCCCTTCGCAATTCATGGTCATAAATCAACATGTCAGTCTAATATTGATAGAAACAATGAAATGAATGACTTTTCCATCCCTGGTGTTCCCAATGAATTCGGCTTCCAACCCTCCGTCGCCAACTTCATTCGCCCCGGCAAACGGCCCCTGTCCAGCGTGACCCCCGTCATCGCCGCATTCCCCGACGGCAAGTTGTTTGCCACTGTTGGAGCAGCGGGCGGTTCTCGCATCATTTCTTCCACTACAAGTGCTCTATGGCGCACCATTGAGCATGGGATGACCATGAAAGAGGCCCTTCGCGAGCCGCGTCTTCACGACCAAGTTATGCCGAATACTCTACTTCTGGAATATGGTTTTGATGCTGAAACGGCGGCAGGGCTCAGGGAGAGGAAGCACAATATTACGTGGGTGAGACCAGGTTTGAGTGCTGTTCAGGGTATTAGGAGGCTGGGTGATGGGTTATTTGAAGCGGCGAGCGAACCTAGACAGAATAATAGCGGGGGGTTAACAATATAGATCTATATGCAGGTGTACCCCTACCCCTAGATTAGAATGTATATCCATGTCTTGCTGCACATGTAGTTCTCTCAGCGACATGACGTCTATGTTGTGAAGCTAATCATTGTAGCCAAGCAAAGTTTCACCCCGCACCAATATCTCACTCGTCCCTCAGGAAAAAAAAAGAAAGAAAAACATCTCTAGGAAATATGAAGACATCAAAATGCACGGAAAATCGGGGGTATCTCCAGGTCTATATGTAATCTTAACCAGACATTATGAAATCTTATTTTCTCATCACCACCAGGCGGCTGGTTTCATCAACCCATTTCTTGGCGAACTCTTCCTCGGTAAATCTAATGGCTGACTTGCGAGCGCGCCTGCGCATAGCCAGCGGGTTAGACTGTGACAAAGCCTTTTCAAAGCCTTCGGCAAACTCTTCTTCGTTGGTTGCGTGGTAGCCTTGGAAAAATAATGTTAGCTCAACCTGTTACTCTTCAACGAAGAGCAAGGGGCTCTTACCAGTTGGTTCTCCATCCACCTCTACGACTATGTCAAGCTTTGGTCCGCCGCTGTTGTGAACAACTGAAATGAGACCCGCCGCCTGGTACTCAACTACACCTATACCGAAGTGCTCGTTCCACATGCCGTTGACGCCGACGGAGGCCTTTCTCAACCACTCGAGAATCTCTGGCCATGAAGCATCGAGATGAAACACCACCTGGTCCTTGATGCCGAGCTCGTTAACAAGGAGTCTCAGTTGGTACACCTTCTTAGAATCCTGATCGTCTCGAACGCTACCGATAAGAACAAGTCGCGCCTTCTCGGCAGCCTTGCTCTTTGTTTTTAAGAACTTTGCAAAGGACTGCAAGACGAGTTGATGATTCTTCTCGGGTCGAAATTGAGCAATATACACAAGGACCTGCTCTCGCTGCTTCTCACTCGCCTCAGATACTTCCACTTCTTGTTCCAGCTCGCGAACAGCCACGGGTGGGTATACGACTGCAATGGGATTGTTTCTGTCCTTTTGGACTCTATGCGGTCCCCATAAGCTCTTGACGTGACCCTGCGTCCAGGTAGAATTGGTCATGACGACGTCAACCGAGGAGCCAACCCACGAATAGATCATGGCAAAAATGCGCCAGTACGTCTTCTTGGCAAACCCACGAGTTCCCTGGCCCTGACCGGCATTAACTCCCTCCGACCCCACCGCAGAAGTTGCGTCAAGAGAGTCAAGCATGTCGGTCGAAATGGTAGGGTAGTGGACATAGGCGCCGGTAGGGACGTCTGGAAAGAGAAACTTGCATAGGCCCAGGGCAAATGCATATCCCATTGTGTCGATAAAAATATCCGGAACGAGCAGGGAAAAGGCATCCCAAGCTAAAATCATGGAGCCAACTGATTGTCCGAGCAAGGTGAAGTGTGGCCAACTCGAGGCAAGAACCCAATGGCGTTTGGAAAGGTATAGAAATTGGACAGTTGGCGGGTGAAGGTGAATATTGAACCGACTCTGTATTAGAGTTAGGATGGCCAGAACAGAACTGCGAGTGGCATGATTGAAAGTGGTCAGCAAACCTCAACACGACGCAGTATGGCGTCCTTGGTCACATCATGATCTCCCGTGTATACGACGCACTTGGCTCTCGGCCAGCGATCCTGAGTGGCGCGAATGGCAGCCCACAGCACCCGCTCCCCGCCACCTCCAGCATTGCTATGTTGTTTGTCAGCCCTTGGCCGATGATTACGTGGTGATGTGGTGGACATACCAAAATGGGTGGAAGAATCCAATGATGCCATCCCAGTCCTTGGACAACTTGTCGTCTTTGGCCCTCGTCTTCAGATGGCTATGGCCAACAGCTTCCCACTCCTCATTAGAGCTCGTCTTCTTGGTTTCGGGGTTCTCTTTCCAGTATTTTTCGTCCTCCTCGTTCATGACAGAGAGAAGTTGTGTTCGCCGGCCCTCGGTTCTCCTGCGAAGTATGAAACCCAGACATCGACCAATTCGACTCGCAATGATGGGGGCGAAAACGACGAGGAGGAATGGGGACGAGGCCAAGAAGCTCACAGCTATGGCAAGCGTCTTGGGATCCAGGCCAAAGGAAAACGGCCGTTGAGCCGTCGGCGTCGTGCAGGTATCGGCCATGGCGGGCAAACGCAAGGCGGTGGGCGGGGGACGGTAGACGGAAGCCAGAGAGTGGCTAATAGAAAATAGGGAGGGAAAAGATGTTCAATTTCTAGAGAAATGGCGGCGGCATCTGCATTGCGGTTTGGATATTAGGCATGGCCCATTGCCTGTGGAAAGAAAACGAGTGCCAAAGGAGGAAAAAGAGTCGGACGGACTGACGGAGTCGAGATGTGGCCAGCTTTCAGATTGCTAGAGTGCTCCGACAAAGTAGACGATGGAGCACAAGCAGTTAGTGAGCATTGAACGGTGGGGGAACGAACGGGAAGCTCCAGTGTACTACTTTTTATAGCCACCAGTGGTGCCATCGGTGCCATCGGCACCCCCTCAATGGTGAGAGCTTGATCAAATGATGATGCTTGCCCGTTTTCCAGGTCAAAGATGTGTTCATTTGTGTGGTCTGCGCCGACGACCCCGACAGTTGACCACGGGCAGCGCGTCAACGTTGATGAACAGGCACCAGTCAGTGGAACCCCGTGCTCCACTGCTTGCCCATCAGAGTCACACTGAAGCCCCCCCTGCTGCTCTCGAAATCGTCTGGTGTCTGGTGGTCCCTGCAGCTCCTTGAAGTGCCCTGAATTTGGTGTGCTGCAGCTCCCTGCAATCGCTCTGCGACAGCTAAGACTGCCCACTGGCCCGCTGCCCGCTGCCCGCTACGTGTACCCGCCACGTGTGGCGCCCGGGTGGCCTCCAGCCCAGTTCCCTGGTAGTTCTAGTTGAGCTGTCCGCAACTGCCTGGACCATGAGGCTGATACGAGACAACATGGAACATTGAACATTTCCTGAAATTACATGGTTTTCGAAGTCAACTACACAGGTATCCGAGTACTAAATACGCATCATGGCAAACACGGCCTCGTCTGTTCACAGGATATCAAGACGGCGTCCATTGTACAATGCCCCAATTGTGCCTGGTATCAGTGATGGTACCAAGTCTTGAGACCAAGACCCACCCACATGGCATCGTTACCCCTGTCACTTAAGCCCCAAATGATCAAATTCATTCTAGACCTCATCGCAACCTCAACTCACGACCAGTCAGAGATCAACCTCTTCTCGCGAATATTGCCATTAATATCAGCCATGGCACATCATGTCAGCATTTCATAGATCAGCATCAAAACTCATCGCCCTGACGAGAGCCTCCGCGAGACCACAAACTCATCTCGTCTCGAAACCTCAACGCAATCCTCTCACGCGACGCCAATTCCACCTCTCAGCCGTAGGAGATGCCGTTATCTTCACGGCAAACAGCATCTCGTCCATACACAGCGCCGGGATCCCCTGGTACTTATCCATCCCGCTCGTCGCTCTCGGAGTGAACTTCTCCTTCCGCCTGCCCATCCAATATTACACACGGCGGCTGGTAATTAAAAGAAGCGCCCTGAACCCGCTAGTATCAGCATGGAGCTCACGTCACGCCGTTTCCATTCCAAGGGGAAATAGCGAACATGCGGAGCGTCTTTGGAAGCTGCGTGTCGCAGGATTGACGGAGAAGTCCCGCAAGAGGATATACAAGACGTTCGGGGTGCAGCGGTGGAAGACGCTGGCGCCGTTTCTGAGCATGGTCCCGTTTGTCGTCGTCTCGGAGGCTTTGAGACGGCTTTGCGGCGCCCCCATGGGGTGGATAAGTCATTCGATTGGGTTGGCGAATATGGACAAGGTGTCTGCTACCTTGTCGGATGCGAGTGGTCTGTTCGACGAGGGACTCGCGCATGGCGGGTGTCTGTGGTTTGTGGACTTGACAGCCATGGACCCTTACTATGTTCTGCCGATGCTGTGTTCGGCTTTGTTGGCGCGAACGTCCTGGGGGAGGCTGTCCAAGGATCAGCTGGGCGTCCTGTTGAGTCTTGACGGGTCCCGAACGCCAAAGACGCCGATGGCGAGGATACAGACGGGCATCGGCCGGGCATTGCTCCTGATTCCACTGTTTCCTATGTTGTTTGCAGATCTTCCAAGCGCTATTTTCGTGTATTGGGCGACTACATTTGCGCTCAACGACGTGAATGAGTCCATCTTGGAGAGGGTTATTCCCAAGCAGGCTCCCAAGCTCAAAATGGTACAGAGGGTACCCCCCGCATTGCCGTATTTACGGGGAAGTCACGGAGATGCGAGCAAAGGTGCAACGTCAGTGCACTAGGGATGTAGTATGGGGATGGATGGATAAAACGGGCTTTGGGAAAATGCCGACCCCCCCCCCATGTACATTATTATAATCATCATCAGGCTGTGTACATATAAACATAAGAAAGAATACCCCGCCCATAAACTCCAAACTTTGCGAAATGGAATAACTGGAAAACAGACAGCTCTATCGCGAGTCTCGGCTCTGATACATCTATCCCAGAACAATCGCCAAGATGACAATCGTCAGAATAACAGCAAGAATGAGAAGCAAGCAGCAGCTCTTGTTCCGAGCGGCCGTTTGATACCTGGCCGCTTGGCGGGTCTCTCTCTCGGCCCCCATGGTGGAATCGTACGTGTTGTCCACGTTTTCGGCAATGGTACGGATGCTTTCATCCTGCTCTGAGACCATGTGTGCCACTTGGCGGAACAAGACATTCAAATCGCCAACGCCCTGCTCAATGTTGCGAATCTCCTCCTCTCGCTCGATGATGAGGGCTTCCTGAAAGTCGACTTCGTGTTGGGGTGCCATGTGCGACATTTCTTGCTGCTGCAAAAGTTGCTGCTGCTCCTGGTTGGCGCCACCTTCTCCGTGTCCGTGTGCATGTTCGGATTCGTGAGCTGCTCTAGCGGCGCTGACGGATGCCTTTTCCTTGTCTAAAGCCTTTCTCTGTAGATCCTGAAACTCTTGGAGGGCCGCTTGGAAATCGCT